CCCACGCCCTGCCTCGCCACAACCCCTCGTCAACCATGCTGCCAGGCCCCGCCAAACCCCCTAAACGCCGTCAGCCCCCACCGACATCCCTCCGACCCTGCTGTGGCCGCCTCACCTGAGAGTCGAATATGACGTAGCCGGCAAACACCGCCAGGCCCCCAACCAGCTCCGCCTCGAAGGCCAGGCGCCCCAGGAACGACGGCAGCAGCCAGCCGCCCAGGCGCAGCGCCATCATCCCCATGATGGCCGAGGACAGCCAGCCCCTGGGGTGGTGGACGAGGGGTTTGGGGTGCGTGTGTTGGGTTGTGTCGTTTCGATTGTGTTTGTAGGGGGACTGGGGCTTGCAAGCACACGAGGGTTCGCAGGTGTGCGTGCGCGTGCATGTGAGGTCCAAAGGTGCTTCTGACAAGCATGGGACGATCGAGGGTGGACATGCGCCAGTGAATCTCGCTGCGTCCCATGTCAGCTGGTCCCATGCGGGCAACAACAGATTTTCCCAGCAGAGGCTTTTTAGCTGCATGCGGCGCGCGACGCTTGCCAAAAGCAGCCCCTGCTTTGCAGCCGCGGCGCCGACAGCCCGCTCGCCCGCCCGCCTTCCGCCGCCGCTCACCCCAGGAACAGGTAGGAGCGCCGCTGGGTGAGCAGCGCGGCGGCGGAGAAGCAGGCAAACACGAGGGACGTGGCGAGGGAGGCGAGCAGCACCAGGGCTGGGTTCACATCCAGGGCCATGCCCACCAGCGGGCCCAGAGACACGCCCTGCAGAGCATCATCAAGGCGGAAAGTCGTGTGTGTGTGTGTGTGTGCGCGTGCACGTGTGTGTACATGTGTGTGTGTGTGTGTGTGTGTGCGTATGTGTCTGTGTGTGTGTGTGTGTGCATGAGTGCGTGCGTCGTGCTCTCTTGCTGGTGTGGAGGCAGCGCCGCCAGCGCGCTGGTCGCTGCGCGGGGGGCAGCGAGGCAATCGTCAGCCCGTGCGTGTGCTGACCGCGCCGCTGCGGCCGGTGACTATGACGTCTGCAGGGGCGTATCAAAAGGCGCCTGACCGCGTACCCTCCGCCCCACGGCAGGGCCGAGCGCTTTGCGCACCCGCCGAAGTGGCTGCACCGCGGCGATGCGAGATAAAAAAACCAGCCCCAAAACCTGGGGGGGGGGGCCCACCTGGCAGAAAGCGAAGGCGGCGAGGAGGGCGTAGCGCTTCTGCAGGTTCTGCTGCGTCGGCGCCATGAACACCAGCGCCATCAGCGACCCAAACGCCAGCAGGCCTGTTACGGCGCCGCCGACATGGTATGTGACGTCAGCATACACGCCGGCGGCCGCCACCAGGAGGGTGGCTGCGAGCGTTGTGTACACCTGGCGAGGGTGTGGGGGTGCACGCGCAGGTACACGTGTGTGTGTGTGTGTGTGTGTGTGGGTGGGTGGGTGTGCTTGCGTGTGTGTGAGTGTGTTTTTGTTGAGTGTTCACGAATTAGTGTGTCCAGCCAGGAGGCTGATCTTGCTTGCCTACAGCTGTACAAATTTCTGCTCGTGGTCAGCCAATGTTCAGGCTTCCCTCCCAACTAGGACACCGCCAGCAACCACGTTAGGCCCTGCGGGCGGCCCCGCCCCGCCCCGCGCCGCCGTGTTGCTGCCTCGCAGCGGATTGGATTACTTGTCAACACAGCCCCTTGAATCTGCCACGCAATACTGCACGCCCACGCCTGGGCGGCAAGCCGCAACCGCGGCCGGTGCCGCTGCTGCCGGCGGTCGGATGGCCACGGTGGCCGCGGCGCCGCACCTTTTGCAGGTGCTTCTGGATTCTCGAATCGATGTGGCCCAAGCTGAAGATTTTGCTGAACGGCACGCCGTCGGGCAGCGGCCCCGTGCGGCCCGTCGCGCGATTGATAAAGTTCATGGCCGCCCTGCTGCTCCTTCTGCTGTTGATGCGGGTCGTGAGCTGATGCGGCGAATGTGATTGTGTGTCGAGCCTGCACATGCGGGATGGTGTGGCGCAAGCACACATGGGCACGTCAGGGTGCACGGATGGCATGGGGCGTGTCGAAAGCCAGCCATCCAACTGGGCAGCAACCCGAGGGGCGTCCATATAATGATGCTGCCGCCTCCAGCTGAACACGGCGGGCACCAGCCTCGTTTGATAGGGCTGCGCCAACAGCGGCTTGCGCACGCTGCGCTCGCGCTGCTGTGTGGGACACCCTCTGATGGCCCAAGTTCCAGCAGGCTCTCAATGGACTGCAGGACGTCTCTATTGTTGCCCTTGTTGCTGCCTAGAGTCCGCGGCAACCACGCACCTGTTGTTTGCCGGGACACCTTGGCACACCGTGTCACAATAGATGAGTGAGACGACTTTGAGGTTCGGGTAAATGTAAAAGTACGATGACAAATCAGCCCAGATTGTAAATCAAGTTCTCTCTCCAGTTTTCTCGCCCTCTGGCACCTTCTGCTTGTGTGCCCTGCGTCCGTTCGCCTCTCAGCGTCTGCCTGCGGGACCTAATCAATTAGGTGTCTTGAACGTGCAAAAACTACTGCAGCCATCGAGCAGCGCTACTCCATCAAATACCAACGCGATGTCATTACCTGAAGCGCCGACAAGTGCAGCTCAAGCTCGCACGGGAGGCGAGCCGGGCGCCATGGCGGTGCCTGTAAACCTGCACCTATATGACCTGACACGCGGCGCAGCGTCCGCACTGAGCCCTATGCTGCTGAAAAAGCACATCAGCGGCATATGGTGAGCCGAGCAGGCTGGGCCCTACGCGCGGCCTGCAACGACTGTGTGTTGGCGGCGCCGCCGACGTGCCTTCATGCGAGCCCATGCAGGGGGTGGTGATTCATCGTGGAAGGGAAAGCTGCTACATGGCGCAGCTCAGGGCTGCATAGTGGGCTGCGCATCGGCGGACCCCGCCTCTCTCCTGCGATTGCATTGGAGCAACCTCGTTGCTCGCAGATCACAGCCGTCACGGCATCACATTATCCGCCCTTGCCTGTGCACCCTGTTGGACCTCGCTGTCACGGCATCATTATACGCACCCTCGCCCCAACTGACAGGCACTCTGGGCTGGTGGTTTATGGCAAAGAGTATTTCTTTGGCTACGGCATCAGCTCTACCCCCGCCGGTGAGCTGCTCTGTGGCCAACAGTTCCGATTCAGAGGTGTTTTTGCCATAGTTCGTGCAGGATGAGTGAGGATGTTGTGTGCGCACTGGCTTGCACACACACACACACACAAACACACACGCACGCACGCACGCGCACGCACGCACGCGCGCGCGCACACACACACACACACACACGCACCAGGCGAGACTCCCTTTGGCCGCCCTGACATGGTGATGTGCCTGGGGCAGACCGAGGTGCCGGTCGAATTGGTCCAGACCCTCATTTCAGACCTACGGCCCCGATTCAGGCCAGAGGATTACAATGTAGGTGTTGAGTGTGAGTGGTCTGTGTGTATGTGTGTGGTTCATGTGCCGGAGAGGGAGGATCTGATCGGAAGGGTGACGAGGGTTTGGGGTTGGGTGCAGGGTGAGTGGGGGCTTGGTGGGGTTGGTGCCAGGGGGCGCGTTAGCAGAGCGTGTGCCTTCGTCCCTGCCGCATTGGCCCCTGGAGAGGACAGATGCTCAGGCAGGCGGGGCGTGAAAGCAGCACGCCCGCGCCCGGCGCTGACTGGGTTGCGGACTTCCATCTTGTAAAGGCACGCCTCCGGTTTGGCCACCCTTCGCCCGTCCCCCCACGCCAAAAGACCGTGGCTCCCGCCGCAGCGCCAAAGCCCTGCCCCTGAGGCCCACGCCCACCCCCACCCCGCCCATGCATCCCGCCCCGCAGCTGCTCACCCACAACTGCAACAACTTCACGTCGGAGCTCTCGCTGATGCTGACTGGAGAGGGTGCGCAGGCGCCGGCGCCACCGCGCGCCCGGGCGCTGGCCCGGCAGAGCGCGTGCGCCGCGACAGGCGCTCGCAAAGCTGCGGTGGTGCCCCCCCCCC